CAAATTTAATTAAATATAAAATTCGAAAAATTTTACAAAATCGAGTATTTTTTCAAAAATGTGATGAGCTAAAAATATTTTTGGAGCCCATAAAAAAGCTATTAAATTACTTGAATATTGTACTGCTACTCTTGTAAATTATTTTTTACAACTTTTACAATTAGCAATTAAGATTAAATATCTATCTGATTCTGTTAGTCAAAATTTTCAAAATGATTGTTTAGCTCTTTTTAATAAATGATGGAAGCAATTTGATTTTGATATTTATTTAATTGCTTATTTTTTCATCCCAAATACTGAGGTATTTATTTCTTTTATTATAAAATTATAATTTTAAATAATATTAATTTATATTTATTATAATTTATTATTTGATTTATAGCAATTGGTATTAAAGAAGAAAGTTTATGATTTATTTTTGAAATAGCTATTAAGTTTTGGAAAAAGTTAGGTGGTGGAAGAGGCTAAACTGAAATTTTAATTACACAAATGCAATCATATATACTATTTGAAAAACTGTGAAATACAAAATTTGTAGAATCAGTTCATACAGTTAAAACTTGGTGGACTTGTGCTATTGTAAATCAAAATTATATTCAAAATTTTGCTCTTAACTTTTTATCTCTTGCTCCTCATAATATAAGCTGTAAAAGGATTTTTTCTGTTTTAGGTTGGTTTTGTAATAAAAGACAATCAAGGTATAGTACTATATTAATATATATATTTATAAAAAACATATATTTTTATATTTATAATCATAATATAATATACAGAAGTACTAAAATTGAATGTGAAAATATCTTTTTTTATAATTATGTTTTTATATATTAATATATATTTATTTATTTAAATATATTTATTTTTAGATTAAATATTAGTAAATTAGAATCTATGGCCAAGTTACATTCATATTATGTTACAAATGTTGCTTCTGAACTTAAATATGCTAATATCGATATTACAAATAATGAAAAACAAATTGAAGATCTTATTCGAATTTGTCAATTTGGTAATCAAGAATCTAATGAATTTGAAGAATTTAATGAATTTAAAGAATCTAATGAAAAATCTGAAAATAAAGAATATGATAAATCTGAAGATGATAAATCTGGAGAAAATAATGAATTTGAAGATAATGAATCTGAAGAAGAAGATGTATCTGAAGAATTTGAAGAAACTCAAGAAATTAATATTTTAAATAATATTGATAATTATTTTAACTTTAATAACGATGAATTTTGGCAAGTATTAAATATGAATATTTCAGTTATTATTGAACTATATGAATTAGAAATTAGTAATAATGATACCAAATTTGATGCTAATGACTTTTAAATACACTTTTAAAAAATAGTATATTAATATTTATACTAAAACATTTTTTTAATTTTTATAATATAGGAAAATGATTTAACAATTTATATATATCGTATACAAATTTTTATATATATAAAAATATGAACTTTTATATAATAAATATTTTATATAGCTATCAATTATACACTATATATACAAAATTTGAGAATTAAAAATTATTATATAAAATAAGTTATTTTAATTCGTGAAAATGTGATTTTGTGTTTAAAATTATTATATTTACTATAATATTTAATTAATTTTATTTATATTTATTTAGATCAATATTTAACTAAAAGAAATTACAGCTAAAATTTTAATCAAATATATATTTAGAGAGGTATTACATTTAGAAAGGTAAAAATCTATATATTTAGAAAAGTAAAAATCTATAAGCATTATA